GGTAATTAGCAAGAGCTTCTGCAACACTAGTGCTTAAGTCTTGCAAGCATGTGTTGTTACTCAAAAATTCAGATGAACTTAGAAAACCGTAAGTTTAATTCCAAAACAATCTGGGAGCAAGAACAAACACGGTGCATGTGCAGAAAACAGGAAATGAGTACGGTTACCGCAGAAGCAGAAAACAGTAGTGAAAGCTGCTTGAGAAGGCGCTCAACTTCCTCATTTTATACACTCTCTGACATCATCAATGATGTCATGGGGTTGAACCAAGTATGGTGGGAACTATTAGTGTAAAGTTAGTTTAGTGTGTTGATTACTAATATTGGAAACTGTAAGTTTGGACAATGTACAGTATGTCTTGTATATGGCTTAAGTACGTCTGTCCTAAAAGTATATGGTTCTGCTGAATGTTTATGGGTAAAAATAACTTTTGAGAACTTGCCTGTGTTAGGACAGAAGTGGTGATCTACCTTTACAAATATCAAGCCCTTGCATTCTTTTCAGAATCAGAATCTGCTTTATTGCCCAGGTGTGTCAGACACACGAGGAATTCGACTCTGGTACACTACAATATGAAGGTGAACTTGTAATGACCTCAAATTTTCCAGAGTTAATCCATTAGAATCTGCCTTTATTAATGAAAAGGAACATAAAATTTACATGATTGTGTAGTTCTAAGTACATGGATGATTCAGACAACACTGTTTTCAGGCAGAAACCTCAAAGTACAGTGGTGTGAAAAAGTATTTGCCCCCTTACTGATTTCTTATCTTTTTGCATGTTTGTCACACTGTAATGTTTCAGATCATCAAACAAATTTAAATATTAGTCAACGATAACACAAGTAAACACATCATGCAGTTTTTAAATGAAGGTTTTTATTATTAAGGGAAAACAAAATCCAAAACTACAAAGCCCTGTGTGAATAAGTGTTTCCCCCCCCTGTCAAAACATAACTTAACTCTGTATCATCATTGCTATAAAGATCATTTTTGTTGGATTTTTTCACCACCTTTTTTAATATTTATCATTTTTTTTGATAACCTGCCTTTCACGGTGTATTGAAACAAGCAGGCCAAGAAGATGTAAGATTGTGATTTTTAACAGTTTTCACCATAATTCAGTCAGTGAAGCTACAGAAGCATCATTTAGCATAAAGTTTCTTTCTACTGTAGAACCAGTTAAAAACAGAACATGCTGTTCTTTATACCTTTTGTTACTATGAAGCTGAATTTGGTCAACAGCTGAGGAGGTCACACCACCTGATATTCAAATGGCAATGCTATTTTCTACCTTCACTGGATCCATGTATGTGTATGGCACTTTCAGACCATTGTTTCTGGCTTTGATGACTGCATTCAACACTTCAAGTTCTGCCTGAAAACACTTTATCAGCATACGTGGAATGTCTTCAGTGAAGTGGTCCTCCTGGTACTGGCCAAGAGGGACCTGATGAGATCAGCAATACAATTAAGATTTTGTTTGTTGGTTTAAATGTTTATCAAGCGTAAACCTTTGGCAACATAACATACACATTTCATGGTTACTTACAAAGTCTGAGGACTCCTTGCTGAGTAGCCACAGGACAGACATGATCTGCACTGTTGCGTTGACATCAGGGAATGTCTGCATCATTGTTGCTTCACTTGTTGTCCCCTTGGTGGTTGGTGGAGGACGTTGTAGGGTGGGGGGAGCGTTGGGCATCCAGCCACCATAGTCATACTACAATAAATAAGTAATGCACTGATAACTAATTAATACGTTCTTAAGCACTTTAACAGTAGCACTACAATCCCATTGTTTATAATGATAAAACTATTTTCAGGACAGACAATAAAGTCTACTTTTAAAATCAATGTTTTCACTCATGCAAGTGAGTTGGCTCTAAAGATGACAATTTCAGTCTATTAGTCAGGTGTTCCACTACAGACTGTAATATTTCATCAACTATTGAATAGATTGCCCTGAATTCTCGTACATTTATTGTCCCCTGAAGGTGAATCCTAATGAGGCTGGTGATCCCCTGACCTTTCCTCTACCACCACCATTTATGGTTTTGAGAAAAATGTCTCAATGTTTTTCTGCTGGATTGTGGAAAAAAAAAAATTAGTTTTCATGTTTAGGATAAGAACTTTGATTTTTTCTTTTACTTGTGCCATCATCAGATCAAAATTTTTATTTGTTCAATACTTTGGTTTATGGCCAAATGTCTGCAAAACTAATTGTATTACCATTAGTCACATTATGTTATGTGCTAATTAGTAAATGTTAGCAAGCTAACATGGTAAAGTAAAACTGTAATCTTGGTAAATATTAGAAATACTAAAAATTAACATGTTTGCATTTGTCATTGCGACTGTGTTACATTTAGCTCAAAGCACAACTGCACGGCCTTACAAAGACATTATGGCTGTAGACTATTATCTTGTTTATGTTAAAGGCGGGCTGACATTTGTCAGTTATTTGGCTCAAAATGCTCTTTCTCTTTCTAGTTTGGAGAAAATTGAACAATCTCATCAACCAATTCCACAACAATAGTAACACTGATCATGACAGTAAATCAAAAGGATTCACCTGTCCAGAGTTCACAGCTGCGTGCTGTGCTGAGCAAGTGAAGATCACCATGGTGACAAACTTGACCAGCTCATCTATGGTGGCAAATCTCTGTGGGATTCCTGAGACGTAGAAAGGATACGCTGCATTACTTAAAGATGTAGCCATCCACTTCAGAGAACTAAAATAAACTTTGTTTTGTGATTGCATTACAATGGTACACAAATGTGCATATAAAGTACAATTTATTTATCATAAAGACTGAGTGTTTGTTAAAAGCTCACCTGTGCTTGTTTGAGAAAGGAATCCGTGTTCAAAAATGTCCGAAATCCACTTCTGCAGCTCAGAATCTTGTTGGACCTCAGTGTCATTTCTGTAGTAGTATGTGATTATTCTCTCCACAAAACTATGAGAAATGTGAAAAGGTATTGAAAAAACACATCCACATTTTACAAGCAATTATAGAGGGGAGCGTGGGGCACAACCTAACACATTTTGTTTTTTGTGGAATAATTTTAAAAATATTCAAGTTGGAACAATCATGTTTTAATTCAAGCAACACACACATCTCTGCTTCAAATGAACGCTTGAACTTTGTTTCTAACACCTACGGTTTTTGGACAATTCTACTGAAAATGATTGGTAGTTCACATTTGGGTGTGGTGGATTTTTTCAAATGAATTCCGAGTCACTTGGAGGAGCCAGAGAACCTTGATGTTTTCACACAATATTAGTTTAATGTGTTACTGGGCGGCACGGTTGTTGTCGCTGTTGCCACACAGCAAGAAGGTCCCGGGTTCGAGCCCTGGCCGACCCAGTGCCTTTCTGTGTGGAGTTTGCATGTTGTGCCTGTGGGTTTTCAATGACATGCCGCTTAAGTTGATTGACAACTCTAAATTAGACATTATCCACATTTAACGTGCACATCGTCAGTTCGGTAGGAACTGATGA